AAAAATTGTTGCCATAAGGTTGCCTGCTGATGGCCGAACCTTAAATTTGCGCGGTGGCTTCTCCCCTTTAAATTTCCACTGTAAAGACTCCTGTTTGCTTTCGGTGTCCCATTGGCGAATCCAGGTTTCGTCGCAGGTAGGTATTCTAGAGATAATTTCTTCTTCTCTGTCTTTTACTAGGTCCAAAAATGCCTCACAACATTCGACGCGTCGTTGTTTCTCAAAGGGCGTCAGCATTCTCGGTACCCATCGTGCGCTTACCTTTATCATCCCTAAATGTTCGTGAATAATAACGTGAATACGTTCCTTACTAATCCTGACATCCCTAGCGCTTTCCCACTGCTTGACTCTCCGATCTGCGAGTATTATTTTTTTCTCTCGAGCCACCGTGTCTACTGTGACTGCAGAAACCGGCCGTCCGCTACGGGGATCGTCTTCCAGACTCACACGGCCATGTCTAAATTGTTTAGACCAAAAATTAATAACAAAATTGGAAGGACATGAATCGCCAAACACATTGGACATTCGTTGTTTTATTTGCGAAGGAGTATTTCCTTCTTTAGTTAGGACTTTAATCACGGCACGCTGCTCAATTTTAAGCATTTTTTTATTTTCATCCGACATGTTTACTATGTTAGTGGACTATTCGTAATGAAAACAATTCAAATAAATGAATGCTATTATTTTCAAATAAGGAATCCATAAGTATTAAAGCTTCATAGTGGCCAGTATCATTTTTGTAACTTTATTGAACAAAGTAGATTATATATCAGTCACCCCTCGTAACTATAATTTATTTAAAAAAGTGTTGGAAACGAAGTACAAAATGCAAACAACGCCTCAGATAGCCAATAGACCACTACAGACGGGGCCCTAGGGCTGACGTTCAGCCGGAGTTGCGGGTTAAGCACAATGAGGCACCGCGACCTTGGCCCAGAGCAGAAGGAACAGGGGGTTTTAGTCAGTAAGAGTCTGACACTCCCTCCCACTCGCGGGTGGGAGAAGTCATTTGATGATATTCCCCTCACAAAAAATAAACAAGTGAAATTTTTATCATCAGCCTATAAGTGCCCACTGCTGATCAAAAGCCTCTTCTCACAAGGTACGAAGAGATGGTTTGAGCATTATTCACCATGCTTGCTCAAGGCGGATTGGCGATTTCAAACTAGTGACTAGAAATTATAAGTCCAGGTTACTCACAATGTTTTCCTTCATCGTATGTTAGTGGTGTCTTAATAATCTTTTAGAAGGTCCTCATATAACTCGGAAAAAGTTACATTGGTACTTGCCTCTTTTGAACCTTCATGCATAAGAAGTGGGCCTCAACCTTTAGGTTACCACGACATTTTACTTACTGAAATGTTAGTTAAGTTTATTTGGTACATAATCTAATGACAGTATTGGTCGAAAATTTTTTTTTTTTGGGATCGAACGTAAGTCCAACTTTAACAAATCAAAGATCATCCCGTCCATCATACTTATTTCTCTTTCATACTTCCCATTGCTGTTTTATCTTTCTTAGTATGCTACAGGGTACATAAAGATAATGTTACATCGACTGAAGCAGGATAACAATGAACCATCTTTTATTCCGATTCGCGGTTCACTGCATTAGCTCTACAATACATTGTGCAGGTTCAGCTTCTGTAGTTCAAATCGATACACTTGCTTTGTGATGTGGTATGCAAATGTCTTTGTATTAAGATCTCCTTTTTTAACAATATACTTACGAGGAAGGAAAATATACAGCGTGATATTTTCTACACGTGTTGTAATTAATTTTCTGAACCAGTTTTAGCTTGTTAGTTTTGTTGTTTTTTATGGAATAGGAGGCAAACGAGCAGACGTGGTAGTAAGTGATTGGCGCCGTTCCTGGGCACATGCAACACCAGAGAAGTCACAGGCGCATTGCCGACCTTTGTTTATCCTGTGTTGTCAGTAAACCCAATGTTACTCCTATAATAAACCTAATTTTAGACTTTAAAATTACTAGTAAGTTATTTCAAAACCTAATTTAAAGTTCTATTCAATTCTAAAACATTCTATCTTTAAAATTATTCTAATTACCTAAACATTTTCACACACATTTTCGAGGAAAAAGGGTCTGTCCATTGTGTTTATAAAAACAACATTGATTAATTTAGTGCGACCTCACTTTGTGTGCGTAAAAAACTTTCTAAATGCCCTTGAACGTTTGTTGTAACGTAATAATTCTATTTTTAACTTCATTACTGGAACTAACGGCATTAACATTCGGAAACACGTCCAAAATTATGTAGGTGTGAATACTTGAATAGTGTGGGCACAAAATGTGATTCAATTTTAATATTATTCATTACTTAAGCAATTTGTATACTTAAGTTGTCCTGAAAACGATACCTAGACAAGGGAAGGAACAATTTTTTGGGTTAGAAAGCGATCGGCGCCGCCCATAGGTGCCCAAAGGAGTTCCTTTTCAACCTTGTAGTGTTTTTTTCCTTTAACTTTGCCTTACACTAAGTTATGTTATGTTTTCTCCTATGTCGTGGGTGCATTTACAAATATACAATTCAGAAGTTCCAGACCCGGAACAACAATTCGTTGATCACACAAAGAGTCGTTTCGTGCGGGACCCGCGATATGTTGCAAAAGCCAGTTTTGCCCAACCACCGCCCAACCGTGCAGTCGATAGGGCCTTAGTAGATAAATAGTAGCACCTTACTATTGTATTACTAATGCCTGTACCTATCATATATTAGATACGGTAGTTTCCTACTAGTCAAATTCAATACTTTTGTCCAAATGTCAAAAACGATACCTTTCTATGAAATTTGTGTGAAAAACTGAGTTATGACGACATAGTTTTTTTGTATCAAATAGTTGAATGAAATACACTTTTGTGAGTCACTGTACTTGTCATGTGATTTTGACCTGATGTATTTTTTTGTTGTTATTTTTTTTTTATGTAATAGGTCGGCAAACGAGCAGACGGATTACCTGATGGTAAGCAATCAGCGCCGCCCATGGACACCCGTAACGGAGGAGTTACGAGTGCGTTGCCGACCTTTTAGGGATTAGGGATTTGGAGATTTAGGAACTGGGGAGGGATTGGGAAGGGGAAGGATTAGGCCTCCGGTAACCTCACTCACACGGTGAAACACAACATTGTAATTGTTTCACGCCGGCTTTCTGTGAGGCCGTAGTATCACTCCGGTCGAGCCGACCCATTCGTGCCGAAGCATGGCTCTCCCACACTTAAGTTTCGTAATATACTCGAGATAAGTTAAATGTTCGTTTCGTATTTTATTTGATAGGATATTAATACATAGAAAAGTTTTCTTAATCATCACGTAGTATATGGCACCCGACCACGTGTAACTGCATAGTAAAGGCCTTTAATTGATCCGGTATGCACTAGTATGTACCGCTCCAACTCGTGTTCTGTCCCAATACGAATTTTTTACATACCCTAGAGCGAGAGGAGAGAAAAATAATACAAGAAAGAAAGGGATAGAAAAAAGTAATTCTGTTCGAACGGACCAGAGCGTGCTATTTCATAGAATTTCTTTTATTAGTGTCGTGTATTTTCCTTTATTACTGTGCTTTGGTCTTTAACGGAGATATAACTCTTTAGTATCTGCAATTAGTGGATACATACCTATAATGATTTATATTATTAGGTAAACATACACATATAGCTATAAATGTACTATGTTGATTTGATACAGGAATTGAACTTCCACCTGATTGGCTTAATCGAAGTTATAATTAGTTTATGATTGAATTCATGTGTTTAGTATTAAGTGGCATATATGTCAAAATAGACTGCATCGTTAACATATTGTAACACAATTAATTTGTGCACTATAAAATCAAATTAGAAAGTTTGGAAATAATGTCTAACTAAAGAGAAAAGCTTTCACATTTTATTTGGAGTCTTGCTATATTTTTTACGATGTTACGTTATGTTGACAGTGGGTACATTTATTTTTAATTTTCATTAATTTAGAACATAGTCGCACAGCTTAACATTTATTGTGAAGCAAACTAAACGTGCGTATCAGCTCAATCGGTTCACGATATCTCCTTTCAAAATTTGTTGCAAAATTCCACAACCACATGCATATTATTATGAACATCCATTTTTTTTATTGGAAGGAACAAGTTCAATGGAAGGCACATATTATCACAATAACAGAAAAAAAACATCAAACTAACCACGTAGACTAATTAGTAATTAGCAAGAATTCCTTTGGAGTATTTTCAAAGGTACGTTTTATTGCCTTCCTACTCGCTCATTGTTGCTTAGAAGGCGGAACGATTCCTGAACTAACTAGGCAATTTCCTCTATAACAGCGTAGTGAATGCGAGCCTATGTAACTATAAATAGCATTCATAACAATAAGAGTGGACCCTCGTTGTACCTACAGTCAGCCTATGCTTTACCTACTTGGCTATATGTGTAAGTAATTTCTTGCCATTGATTTCCTAGTTCTGCGGTATTCAGTAACTGTGCCTTTCTCCAGTCTTTGTCATCCTTTGGCAATACTTATAGTTATTTTTAAATTCGGAATGCATCAGTCTGGCATCTGACTTAAACGCTTATAAAGTCGTTCTAAATTCAAATATTTTAAACGCTACTTAGATGACGAACTTTGTCTAATGTTTTCTTAATGAAAACGTTCTAAATGCATTTGAATTTCAACCAATAGGCTCTAAAAAAACAAACAAAAATAATATTCGAAATAGAAGCACAATTTTTGATCAGAATAAAGCCATTAATTAATTCGTGTTATCAATGCTCATGTAACAGAATTTATTCGTGCTCACCCTACAGCAATATATTATGTTGCCCGTTCATTGCCGTTATCTCATAAATTAAAATGTTGATTTATTATACCTATAGCAATAAAGGTACATTTAAATCGATTCAGGAATATAAATGATTTGTATATTATTATCACCTGTACATTTCTCGACTAAGATTAATTTAATTTATCAAAAAGAGGTTGTATACTTACAATAGACGACAACCTCTTTGAAGATCGACGACGTACCTGGAAATAAAATAAATAAATATAAAGACATTGTTTTTAATTCAAATTATTTTTTTTTCAAATTCAAATTCGATTCGTTCCGATTTTATAAAAAATATAACAATGTAATGTTTTTTTTACATATTTTGTTAATATTAACAATGGTGATCTCTCTCACTCAACTATAGGATTTCAAGCATCGAAACATGGTTGCTTATTTAAAATAAGTAAGTAAAGAAAGAATAATGTTTGCCTACTCAATACAAATTTTCTATCAAATAAAATAAAAATAATCTGCAACATAAAAAAATCTAACACCCCTGTAACTTTTCTTTTTAACTGTCTAATGTTGCCTGTTCGTGATTATCTGTGGTCAAAATATTGGAAAAAGTTTTTTACCATTGCAATACCGGTCACGTCGCTGTGATTGCGCTGATTTCTTCTATTGTGGGAGAACTTTTATTCAATTGCTTAATTAAGCGAGACTCTGTTCCGCTAATTAGCTTTACTGAGTTTACGGATACATTTATACGATCATGGAGGCGTTTAAAAACTTTTAGTTTTTCTTGTTAGTATTTTTTATTTTTTCTGTGTTTAGGGTATTTTTTTATTTTCATTATTTTAAGCTATTTGTTTTATTTATTTTTATAATTCTATTAAAAACTTTTTTGGTATTGCACTTCTAGTTTTAGGCCGCTATCCCACTAGGTGTTTTACTAGCGTTGCGTTGACGTCACGCTGACGATAGCGGCCTTAGAACATAAAAAAACAAAAACAAATCCGTCAATTGTAATAATTTACTTCAGCAATTTAAAACCTTAACGTACTTACAGTAATTTGTAACGTCACATAAACGTACTCGAAAAGAATGAATATTTCTATCATACTACGAGTACGTATTTTTCCCATGTGTACCAACATTATTTTTTAAAAAGTTGCGTCGCTCGACGGCCAGTTAAACGATAAAATAAATATAAATCGTCGACCCGCATTCGTTCCGTAGGGGTAAATTACCCGAGACAACCAGCATTTACCCTGTTACTTCATACGTAAATATTTACACAAAAATATACACATTTTATTTATGGAATATCATGCATGTATTTCCAAATTGGCTCAATGGTGTAAATCTGTTGTTAATGAGCATGATCAACCTCTTTTCTAATGAAGTCATATTAGTCTTACCCCCGGTTTCCGAAAGGCCGATCAATGTTAAAATCAATTTAATCTCTTGTCCATTGTCAAGTCATCTGATTGGTTGACTGAATTATCAACAACCAATCAGATGACTTGACAAGAGATTTAACAGGAGATTAGTTAATTTTAGCGTTGACAAGCCTTTCAGGAACCGGGCGTAAGATTTGAAAAGGTGTTTTAGGGTGTAATTAGACTATTGTGCTTGAAATAAATATATTTTTGTTGTGTTTGTAAATGTTATTATATTGTATTGTTCCTGTTGCCTTTCCACGAGGTGTTTAAAGTAAGTGCGTCTAAGCATTTTTTTTTTAATTAGTCTAGTCTCGAACTACGGACTGACTGTAGACTTTAACGAAATAATGTTATACTCTTACAAATATACTACAATTTCTGACAATAAACGTTATGTGCCTAGACTGTTACACCATCACATTACGGGCATAAAACTCTTAAACCTAAATCCATTAGCGTGTTAATTAACTTCTTTTATTACAGCATTGTTCTTATTTTGCTATCTCACTTTACTGGGACAAATATTACGGCGAGACGTGTCGCGGGTTCGATTCCCGCACGGAACAACTCTGTGATCCACAAATTGTAGTTCCAGGTTTGGGTGTAGTGTGTATGTGAAATTGTATGTTTGTAAAAGCCACCAGCCCACGACACAGAAGGAAACCATACAAAATGCGTTTAAAAAAAGGTGATCTTGACACGACAAAGGTGATCTTAAAATATTTGAAGTCAAATTGTTGTTAGTGTTACTGTAATAACACATTCCTAACTCTCACCCTGAACCCTGAATGCAAACACATAAGATTGCCATCTACAATCATAAATAACTTTCCCCAAAAATGAGGCCACTTTTCCTCGACTCGTGGGAAAATGCCGAATGCTCTCGATAATCAAGTGGCAAGGGATCCAGCTTTCTCCCATTTTTACGAGCGGTACATTAAGCCCGATGCCTTGGAAATAAAAGGTAGGGGTAAAAATTACCATCAAATATTTATGTGTGAGTAGGTTGGCAAGTTATGGGGAACCCGAAACGAATGACGTGAAGATAGGTGGCTGTCTGCGAGGAATTAATGATGGCTGCCATGGAAACATGTTTGGTTATAACTCGATTTTATATCTTGTTATTTGGATGTTGGTCAATGAGGTGGAACACTCTGGAAAATGTTTATGTTTACTGCAATAGGTGATAGGTACGTTTCGAAAAACAATGTTGCAAAATATCTATACTAACATTATAAATGCGAGAGTACCTCTGTTCGTCTGTCTGTCTATTCTTTCTTCACGCCTAAACTACTAAACCGATTTTAGTGACATTTGGAAACTATGTCTGTAAGATAGTTTGAAACTCTAGAAAGGACATATGATAGTTTTTATACCAAAAATCTACAGGAAGTCACTATTTCACGCGAACGAAGTCGCGAGCAAAAGCTACTGGTAAATATATTTTTGAATGCTTTAATGACATCTTCAGTACCATATTATATACATATACCATAAGCGTGGGAGAGCCAAGCTTCGGCACGAATGGGTCGGCTTGACCGGAGTGATACCACGGCCTCACAGAATACCGGCGTGAAACAACCCACAGCGTTGTGTTTCGCCGTGTGAGTGAGGTTACCGGAGGCCCAATCCCTTCCCTTCCCCTTATCCCTTCCCAATCGCAAGCCCCATCCCCAAAAGACCGGCAACGCACTCGTAACTCCTTTGGTGTTGCGGGTGTCCATGGGCGGCGCCGATTGCTTACCATCAGGTAATCCGTCTGATCGTTTGCCGACTTATACCATAAAAAAAGAAAAAAAATCTTTTTAATAACAAAACATTTGCAGCTGTTAACACCTCCGATAACAATTCAGGAGGATAAAGTTATAGTTACATAAGTACTATAAGCCCATTGGTTAGTATGCATGGCACTGCCCAAACATACATGTGGCCGGAGTTAGGGCACGATGGCCATCTCTCACGTTTGACATAGGTAAGACCCAAACCGTATTGTTACCGTCCATTTCCCAAAAAGATTGGGTCTTGTAAAAGTTTTAGTATTTCTGATTAAAGTTTTGTGTTTTTATATGGCAGTCCATCTTATGTAGATATTTCCTGCAAAGTAGGTATGTTTTTTTTTTGATAACCATCACTTCCATGTTAATTTTGATCGACTTATTTAACTTCGTAAATCTCTGTAGCTAATTTTGTCTTAACAAAATAGAGAGAACTATAGAATTTTTCCTTCATAAAATATGTTAAACACCTGCTCCATAGTACAATATTAAGGGATTCTTATTTAGTGTTAGTTAATTACGAAATAAATAAAAACTAATGACTTACAATTCACGCGCTGCGTAAAACAATGAACATCTGTCAGTTCACGATCAGGCGTACGATGGTCGGCGCCAAATTGTGACAATAAAAGACAGTAATTTATTTCGAACTAATACCACGATTAATAGGCTCTAGCTGAGTATTATTGATAAATATTGCAGTTTTAGTGGCAATAGCGTCACTATAATCGATATTTAATTATGTAGAAAACTAAGAAGCAAATGACCTTAGTATTTACACAAATAAAATATGAATGTTTTGGTTTGACAATAAATTAAATTGTCAATTTACAATACAATATAGACAAACGTTGTACACTGCAAGTATCAGCTTGTCTTAGAACCACTATTAACATATTCTGCGTGATTGTGTTTGGTTGATAAATCTTTAGCAAATAAACAAATAGATTTTCTAGTTAGATTTCTTAACAAACAAACCCATAAAGAAGTTAGTAGGGCATGAAATTGTTGATAATCACATAAAAGAAAAAGAGTATCTATGAAGACAAGTCGGCCACGGGCAGTCTGGCCAACTTGGCAAACGGCGGCTGTTTTAATTTTATCGATCAGTGCTCGATAGCCTTGCGATCCCTTGGCCTAGACGATGTTTCCTGACTACTGACATTTAGGGCCCACCGGCTAATTGGGGATTGGGGATAAGACAGCCATGCGAAGCTTAATGTTTTTAGGTCACAGGGGTTAGGCGAAAACCTAGTCATCTGGTTTAATGGTCAGCTGAAAATCGTGTACTACATTCTAAATATGGACGCCGAGAATACATGCTGATCAATAAAATGGTGCTTTAAGAGATTGTTAGCTGTTTTTATACATGTAGGTCTTACAGACTACGGCTGATAATGTTAAAATTACATTACCTTTAATACATTTCGGACAACGGAAGCAAGTCATTTATTATGATTTGGATAAAAATCTATTCCTAATTATACCTATCATCCATTAAACGGAGACCACAAAATTGATATAAATCATTTTCAATATGATCACTGAACTTCACTATATTCTTGTTTAGGTATCCGAATATATAGTGGGGCAATAAAAAAGATAGCTCATAAATCTCGGTGAGTGACACGGGTTATGATACTAGACTACAGACATTTTGTCTGGCGGACATCGAAGATATAGACCTTATATAGTTCAATTTAATTTGTTTGCTTACTTACGTAACACTAAAACTAATAGAGAAGCAAACAAGACGATAAAAGTGAAAAGTTTCGTCGAAAATAACACTTTTTGTTGTACAACATTAGGTCTCAATTCTCTTACGTAAGTCTAATATTTTCGTCTAAAAAAACGTGTGAGTCGTGTTATTGTTTGCCTTTCGTTTTCAGGCTAAGAATAGATTTTTACGTGTCTTTTCGTGGGTGTCGAGGTAAATAAAGAATAACACCAGGTTTCTACGTTTCAACCATTCTGTTTTGCTAAATATTCAAGCTAGAACTACTTGGGTACCTTCAGACGGTGATAGAAAC